TCAGTCCTTGTGACCGACCATAAATTTATATTTAAAAAAAAACGTTCCATTATTTAGTATGATTGTAAGACCAAATATATAATAAATATCGATAGTACCGGTAACTACAGAATTGTTTCAAAATTGCGTTTTCTTGCACGTTTGATCAACAAATGGCATCACTCATCGACCTAGGCATACGAGTCATAATTCAAGCTCGCCGAATAATCGCGAAATGCGCCGAACGTGGAAACTGTAACAAACGATCTGATTGGCTGTAGGCCGATCAACCCTCCGATTCAAACAAATAGAATTCGCGCTTACATTTTATGTTCCGCCATCTTTGATTTGCATCGAACACGCTGGTATCAATAGTTGCAGAGTTACGTCTACATCGAAGTATGAGGCGATATTTAAACTGCCAAGAGCCTACTGCTAAACGTGTGAAAACTACACAAGGAAGGCGTGACAAACAGCAAGAATTCGAACGGTCTAAGCGTAAAACACGCACATTCCAAGTTAGCTGGCAGGCGGAGTTCAAAGACTGGTTACTTTTTGATAACAACAAGGCGATGTATTGCCGGCCTTGTCGAGGATCCTACGGTCAGCTGTCGGTTAGTAAGATTGTGAACACGATGCAAAATACATGTCAGATTCAGAGTCGGCCAGTGATCATGTTTTTTCTGAAGATTTTGATGAGTTTAGTGACGATGAAAGAAATGATGATGACCTCTTTGAGGCTACAGATAATATATCTGATTTATTAGTAAATAAAGGTTTTGCAATTGCAAGCTTGTATTATCCGTTTAGTCTTTGTTTGTTAAATATCAGGGCCTACAGTTAGCTAGAAAGACCTACAGTTTTAATTTGACATAGTCCTTCGGGCCTGTAATGATTTTCAGTTAATTTCGAACACTGAGTGGTACCAGTATTACTTCTGACACCCACATCCTGCAGTGGTACCAGTATTACCCGGTACTTCTGGCACCCACATCCTGCACTGGTACCAGTATTACTTCTGACACCCACATCCTGCAGTGGTACCAGTATTACTTCTGACACCCACATCCTGCAGTGGTACCAGTATTACTTCTGACACCCACATCCTGCAGTGGTACCAGTATTACCCGGTACTTCTGGCACCCACATCCTGCACTGGTACCAGTATTACTTCTGACACCCACATCCTGCAGTGGTACCAGTATTACTTCTGACACCCACATCCTGCAGTGTACCAGTATTACTTCTGACACCCACATCCTGGCAAACAAGTCCTGCAATTGTACCAGTATTACTTCTGGTACCCATATTCTGCAGTAGTACCAGTATTACTTCTGGTACCCACATCCTGCAGTGGTACCAGTATTACTTCTGGCACCCAAATCCTGCAGTGGTACCAGTATTACTTCTGGCATTCAAATCCTGCAGTGGTACCAGTATTACTTCTGACACCCACATCCTGCAGTAGTACCAGTATTACCCGGTACTTTTGGCACCCACATCCTGCAGTGGTACCAGTATTACTTCTGGCATCCAAATCCTGCAGTGGTACCAGTATTACTTCTGGCAACCAAATCCTGCAATTGTACCAGTATTACTTCTGGTACCCATATTCTGCAGTGGTACTGAAAAGTACTGATATTACTTCTGGAATCCTGCAGTGGTACCGATTTAATTTAAGCACCTCATTCGCCAGCGATGCCACAATGATGAGATAAGAA